CCATGACCAAGGCCTGACACAATGGAAAGGTAACAAGACAAATGATGCTGGGAACAGCCACTGCAGGCCCAGCCTGTGTCGGGAAGTCCAGCGGGGCCTGCCAGGAAGGGCAGGGACTGCTCCCACCCCACCGAGAGGCCCAAGAGGCCACGGGCCCTGTAGTCCCCAGTGGCTTTGGCCCAGAAGGGGCAGGGACCAGGGAGAACCAAGACGCCGCCCCAGAGACTGGGACCAGGGCAGGCGTGGCTGATGAGGCAGGCACTGGGGAGCATGGCACATGCGGGAGCAGAGGCCCTGGTATCTATCTGTCCCAGCCCGCAGGAAGGCTGCAGCCCCCTGCACCCCGCCCAGCTGTGGCATTACTGACCCAAGTGGGCTGGAAGGAGTGCCTGGCATTTCTGTCAGCTGAGGGTCGCGGGCAGCATTTAGAGCTGCGCCAGGCCCTTCCCCAGAGCGCAAATTCTTCTCATGGCCAGAGTCGGCAGCTGTCAGCCCCTGCACGGCCACCCCCTCCACCACGCCAGGCCCTTGGCCAGCTCCGGTTTCCTGACACAATGGGGGCCATGGCTGCACCAGGTATTTATAGGTGCTGGAGCGCCAAACGGCAGCCGGGGCTTGGCCGAGACTGGCCCAGGGGCCTGGAGAGCAGCCACAATCCCACACTGGGAAGAAAGGCAGAGCCCTGGAGCTAATGACATGACTGCCCATGCTGCCTTCTGCCCTCTCAGACAGCAGCTCAGGGCAACAGGCCTTGGACTGGGGTCTTGGGCACGACAGCAGGGGCCTCTGCCCCAGAGCTGCGGGAAGAGCTCCAGGTACTGGTAGCAGCCAGGGGCTTTGGCTTAGACAGAGATGCTCCTGGTGACATTTCACACCACATGACAGCCTGCCCTATGGCACACAGGGCTGCTAATGAAGCCGAGGAAGCTGGCACAGCTGGGCATGCTCCCACCCCAGCTTCTGCTGGCTCCTGCAGCTGGCCCCAGCTCCCAGCCCCACTGACCACCTGCTGCTGGGCTCTTCCGAGAGGAGACAAGTAAGGGGCACCAGTTCAGGGAAGTGTGTGGAGCCCTGAGAGCCCAGGGGCCACCGGTCTGTCTCCTCTTAGGGCAGGGGTGTCCCTAGTCCAGCCCAACCCAGCCCACCTGGAGCAGCCCTTGGGGCCCCAGGAGCAGCCTCCTAGGAGGAGCAAGGGGCAGGTGCTCTCTGTTCCCAGGCCCTGTGCCTCGCCACCCCCACACATCAGATAAGGGCAGGAAGCTAAGAGGAGCCCCAGCCCACACGCTCTTGCTGCCGCTGCCCGCAGGCTCCACTGGCTCCATTACCCTGCAAAATGCCACGGACTGCAGTCAGAGCCTCCCTGGTGGGAGCCGCCATCCCCACCCGCAACCAGGCCTGGGCCCTGCACCCCTGCCTCCACCCTGCTGTGGCCTGCAGCCCCACCAGCACGGCTGCCTATTCATTCCCCCCTCCGGATAGGTATAAATAACATGACAGATGTCTATACAAAGAGTTATTCATATCCCTGCCAGCGCAGCACAGTGCACAGCCAGCCGCGGGCAGTGGGAGCCAGGCTGAGAAATGTGGGGGGCTGGGGCGAGGTCATGGGGCAGGACAGGGCCCAGGTTGGAGGAGCCCAGAGAAGCACTTTGGGGCTCCACGGGCAGATGACACTGATTTGGCTTGGGGCTGAGCTGGCAGCAGCAAGGATGTGGCAGAGCAGAGCGGGGGTTGGGGGGCTGCAGCAGGTGGGACTGGCCCCTGTGGGGCTGGGCAGAAACCTGAGGCCAGGAGTGCATCTGGATGGACCCCAAGGCCTCGAGGGTCCCAGAAGGGCTGATCAGCTGCTTGGACAGCGCCAGCTTCCTGCCGGGCACCAGAGCGGTGCAAGCTCCGCAGCAGGTCCCACGCTCTGCCCGGCACGTCCCACCTCGATTGCACCGGGCAGCGCGGAGCAGGGAGCAGGGCACCTTGCACCGCATTCCCCGGGGCCGGG